TGGGGGCCTCTTGGGGCCTCTTAGGGGCCTCTTGGGGCCTCGTAGGGGCTTCTTAGGGCCGAGGGCTCGAAATGTTGTTTCGTGTTCCCTCTCTGGGGCCCCTTTGGGGGCGTTCTTGGGGCCCTCTTGGACCGTCTTGGAGGCTTCTTGGGCCGTCTTCGAGCCCTCTTGGGCCATCTTGGGGCCCTCTTGGGGGCCTCTTGGGCCCTCTTGGGGCGATCTTGGGGGCCTCTTGGGCCGTCTTGGGGCGTCGGGAAGCCGAAAAGGTGGAAGCTCCAAAATCTCTCAAAAACCTAAGGAAAAGCAATGAATTTTGCCTCCGGGGGCCCTCTTGGGAGTGCTCTTGGAGGCCTCTTGGGGCGTCTGGGGGCTATCTTGGGCGTCTTGGAGCGATCTTGTGGCATGTCGGACCCCTCGTGTACCATCTTGGGGGCCTCTTGGGGGCCTCTTGGCTTTTCTTGGGGCTCTCGGGGACGTCTCGGAGCCCTGTTGGTGCGCTCATGGAGCGCTCTGGTGGCTTCGCCCGGGGATCAGCCGGGAGTCGCCCGGGGTACTTTTCGTCCAGGGACCCCCAGGGGCCGCCCCGCGCGCGCGAACTAGAGAATTGTTAACCAGTTACCGGAGATCTTAGCACGCCTCTGGCCCGTTGGGCCGGCGAATTTTAGCCCTGCCCCCCCAAGAGGCCAAAATGGGGCCAACACTTGAGTAAAAGCAGCGATTTTGGCTTCATCGCCGAGGCCGTTTCGGGCGCTCCAATGGGTCGCGGCACCGCCCGTCCATAGCCAAGGGGGGGAGTATGGGGGAGGGGTCACCCACCCGCCCGAAACTGTTTAGCTCACTCGCACCCGTCCCCCCCAGACGTCAGTAACCCCTCGAGCCTGAGCATGTTCAGTGATCGTCTTTGGATGGGCAGCTACTGGGAACCGAAGCCGACCCCAGGTGCGCGACGTTTGGGCGAGGTGCGCCACGCGTGCCAAGGGCGCCACGCGCGCCAGGCAACCGTGGGGCCAGAACGTGCCAGGCACGCCCGGTGCTCCAGCTGCGCCACGTACTCCGAGTGCGCCAGGTGTGCCGTACACTCCAGCCCCGCCAGGTGCGCCGCGTTCGGGGCACGTGCAGAATGCGTCAGGTGCGCCTGCGAACGTGACAGCACACATTGGGAAACAGCTCGGCCCCCGCCATCCTTGTCGGAAATCGATGCCCATCATTGTGTCAGCTGGGCCTGCGCACAGCAGGCCACACGCCACCACCCCCGCCGTCCCTGTCAACGACCAATTGACAGTGATCGCGGGATGGCTGCGCATGGTCCAGATTTAGCCGCGAGGTGCATGTTGTATTGTTTTCTCTTGTCAGGGATGGTAGCCCTGCGCGCAGCAGGGAATATGCTGACCACCCCGCTGTCCTTGCCAAAAACAATACGAAGAGCTCGCGGGCCTCACGAACATGATTCAAGACTCTGCCCCGAAGTGTGCTTAGCAGTGTTTTTTGGTAGGGATGGTGGGGGGGCCGCATCGGGTTGGCCGCGCATGCTCCAAATGTGGAGGCAGAGTGCGGTTTGTATTGTTTTTTGATTGGGATGGTGGGGGGCGGGTGGACATGGTGTCGGCATTGCGCCTGGTTGGCCCCCGGTCGCCTGGGGGAGGGGGTGTATGTTCATGAGGAACAGTGATGAACCCCTCCCCGAAGGGGAAGAAGGGGGTTGGAAGAGAAGCCGCCCTAGACTACCTACGCCCAGAGGGCTGGTGGGATTTACTAGGGAACGTGGCCCTGGGAGCGCGGACAAGGCGTAATTCACGAGGGAGCGCGGCCCTGGGAGCGCGGACGCAGCGTAGTTTAGGATGGATCGTGGCCCAGGGAAGGCGGACGCAGCGTAATTTACAAGGGATCGTGGCCCTGGGAGCGCGGACGCATCGTCATTTACGATGGATCGTGGCCCTGGGAACGCGGATGCAGCGTAATTTAGGAGTGATCCTGGCTCTGGTTCAGGGACGTTCTGCGGAAAGAGCGCCAGTGGATCACCTGGAAGACACAAAAGGGGGGGTGTGCTCCAGGGGACCCCCCCCCCCCCCCCCCCCCCTTAAGGGGGGGGGGGTCCGAGAACCCCCCCCCCCCCCTCCCCCCTTTAAGGGGGGGGGGGGGGTTCGAACCCCTCCCCCCCACTTTGAAAGGGGGGGGGGGTTCGGAACCCCTCCCCCCCCCTCCCCCCTTGAAGGGGGGGGGGGGTTCGGACCCCCCCCCCCCCCTCCCCCCCTTTCCGCAGGGGTCCGGTGCGAGCGAGGCGAGCGAGGTTTAGGGTTTAGGGTTAGGGTTAGGGGTTAGGGCTTAGGGTTTAGGGTTTAGGGTTTAGGGTTTAGGGTTTAGGGTTTAGGGTTTAGGGTTTAGGGTTTAGGGTTTAGGGTTTAGGGTTTAGGGTTTAGGGTTTAGGGTTTAGGGTTTAGGGTTTAGGGTTTAGGGTTTAGGGTTTAGGGTTTAGGGTTTAGGGTTTAGGGTTTAGGGTTTAGGGTTTAGGGTTTAGGGTTTAGGGTTTAGGGTTTAGGGTTTAGGGTTTAGGGTTTAGGGTTTAGGGTTTAGGGTTTAGGGTTTAGGGTTTAGGGTTTAGGGTTTAGGGTTTAGGGTTTAGGGTTTAGGGTTTAGGGTTTAGGGTTTAGGGTTTAGGGTTTAGGGTTTAGGGTTTAGGGTTTAGGGTTTAGGGTTTAGGGTTTAGGGTTTAGGGTTAGGGTTAGGGGTTAGGGTTCGGGTTAGGGTTAGGGTTAGGGTTTAGGGTTAGGGTTAGGGTTAGGGTTTAGGGTTGAGGGTTAGGGTTAGGGTTTAGTGTTAGGGGTATGGTTTGTGTTGAGGGTTAAGGTTTAGGGTTAGGGTGAGGGTTTAGGGTTAGGCTTCGGGTTCGGGTTTAGGGTTAAGGTTTAGGGTTCAGGGTTTAGGGTTAGGGTTAAGGTTTAGGGTTAGGTCATAGGGTTTAGGGTTACGGTTAAGGTTTAGGGTTAGGGTTAGGGCTAGAGTTTAGGGTTAGGGTTAGGGTTAAGGATTAGGGTGTAGGGGTTAGGGTTAGGGTTAGGGTTTAGGGTCAGGGTTTAGGGTGTAGGGTTTTGGGGGTTAGGGTTTAGGGTTAGGGTTAGGGTTTAGGGTTAGGGTTTAGAGTTTAGGGCTAGGGTTTAGGGTTTAGGGTCAGGGTTGGGGTTGAGGTTAGGGTTTAGGGTTAGGGTTAGGGTTTAGGGTTTAGGGTGAGGGGTAGGGTTGGGGTTAGGGTGTAGGGATAGGGTTGAGGGTTAGGGTTAAGGGTTCAGGTTTAGAGCTTAGGTTAGGGCTAGGCTTAGTGTTAGGGTTTGGGGTCAGGGTTAGGTCTACGGTTAGGGTTTAGGCTTCGGGTTAGGGATTAAGGATTAGGGTTCAGGGTTTGGGTTAGAGGTTAGGGGTTCGGGGGGGTCGGGGCGGGAGTGGTAGGGATGGGGTTCCGGAGCCGGGGCGCGAGCCGGGGAAAGGGGGGGGGGGGGGGGGGGACGGGTTCGGGAGGGGGGGGGGGGGGGGTTCGGGGACGGGGGGCAAGGGGGGGGGGGGGGGTTCGCCGACGACGGCTCGGGCAGGGGGGGAGGGGGGGGGGGGGGGTTCGCCGACCACGGCTCGGGCAAGGGGGGGGGGGGGGGGGGGGGTTCCGAACCCCCCCCTCCCCTTTGGGTGATCCAGCGGCGCGCCCTCCGTTCTGCGGCACGTTCCTTGACGCGTTCCCTGGCATGTTCCCTGGCGCGTCGCCTGGCACGTTCCCTGTCACGTTCCATGACGCGTCCCGTGGCGAGTCCCCCTTGCACGTCGCGCGGCGCGTCCGCTGGCACGTTTCGTGGCGCGTCCATTGGCACGTACCGTAGCGCGTCCCCGTGGCACGTCCCACGGTGCGTCCCCATGGCACGTCCCCTGGCACGTGCCCTGGTGCGTGACTTGGGACGTTCCGCGGCGCGTCCCCCTGGCGTGTCCCCTCTGTCAATCAGTTCTGGGGCAGCTACTACGTGCTCAGGCAGCTCGAGCTCAAGATCCAGAAGTTCGGTTAAGGACTCGGATGTGCACATCGCAATCCAGCACTGCGCAGCAGCCCTTGGCACGGTACATCAAGATCGATGCACTCAGCCTTGCAACCTGGCACGTTCCGTGGCGCGTCCCATGGCGAGTCCCCCTGACACGTCGCGCGGCGCGTCCCCTGGCGCGTCCCGTGGCACGTCCATTGGCACGTTCCGTAGCGCGTCCCTTTGGCATGTCCCGCGGTGCGTCCCCATGGCACGTCCCCTGGCACGACTGCTGGCGCGTCCCTTGGGACGTTCCGCGGCGCGTCCCCCTGGCGTGTTTACCTGTCAATTAGCTTTGGGGCAGCTACTATGTGCTCAGGCAGCCCGAGCTCAAGATCCAGATCAGTTCGGTTAAGGACTCGGCTGCAAAGGGGGACTCGATCCACAACGCTATAGAGCGCACTCGCGGCATGGCACGTCGCAATTCGGTACGGTGCAGCACAGCACAGCCCTTGGCACGGTACGGTCAAGATCAATACACTCAGCATTGCAAGTGCCCGTCGCCCAATCAGATGTCTCGGAAACGTTGCCATGCCTTGCGTTTCTATATTCCTTTCCGGGTTCGTGGGTCGATCATATTCCGGCCCTGGCGATCTCATTCCAATTTTTTCGTGCTCGTCGCAGCCCTTGCTGTTTTTTCCGACCCTGGCCACTTCCTTTTTGATGAAATTCCCAACTTCCAATTTTTCCACTCTCCCTGTAGGGTTCGGAATCCGTCGAGCCCGTGGCGAACGCCGACTCCCACCCCCGTCTTCCATCGATTCAGGAGACTGGATCATTGGTAGGGGAGGTTCAGGGTATCGACACCCATCAGAGGAGGAACACGTACCGATTGCGCTACCCTTAAGGGCTTTTTCGGGGCCTCCTTAGAGGCCCTCAGCGCCACGGCTGGATTCGCACCGAAATTCCGGCCAGGACGCACCCCAGGAGAGGTCCGGGTTTCCCCAGGAGCAGCTGGAGGGCGTGGAGTTTGACGCGTCCGGGATGAGTTTTTCCCGGCCGGCGGCGACGCCCAACGTCGACGTCGGCCACAAGGCGATTGGCAAGAGGCGCGACAGGAACCGAAAAAGAACAAACCGTGGAAACATGAAATATTCGGAGCTCCGCGCGGGTTTATTGGATCTGCGCGGACCTCCCAAAGCTTCATGCTTCTGCAGTTCTCTCTTTCTTAGAGGAAGTGGCACCCGGAGGAGAAGGACGTGAAGAAGCTGAGGGATCTCTTTTCGTTCTACTTCGGCGAGTTCAACCTGCAGCACAACAAGGTCCTCATGGCTAGGATCGAGGCCGCCCGCGGCAAGGAGGCCCAGCGCGGAGAGCCGAGCAGCGGAGGCCACCGTCCCTTCTTCCGCCTGTCCGACGTCAGCGCTCTGCCGCGCATCGATGCCATCCTGACTCGCTACGACCAGGACCCCGGGAGGACGAGGTACAGCTGCCGCTGCTCGTCCCGGAAGGCCCTCGTGGTCACGGCTGGATTCTCCTGCAGAGACTGGTGTCAGAATGCGCCCCGGGAGAGGTCTGGGGAGTCGTCTCGGGGGCGCCCAAACGGTACGGTGACAGCGCCGCGTGGTGAGTCATTGGGGATTTGGGGTCGCCACACGGTTTTGGGACTCGGGTCGTTCTCCGAGGACGTCTCGGGCGTCTGGTTCTTCTGGGGTCCCAGAACTGTGTGGTCATGGACCGTGCGGTGCGATTTTTGCGGATTCCGAGATCACCGCGCGGTCTGTCAACGCATGGTTTCGTGTCCCACAAGTGTCAGTATCTCCTCCTCCTCCTCCTTCTCCTCCGTCTCCTCCTCCATCTCCTCCTCCGTCTCCTCCTCCATCTCCTCCTCTGTCTCCTTCTCCGTCTCCTCCTCCGTCTCCTCCGCCTCCTCCGTCTCCCTTCCTCCTCCGTCTCCTCCTCCTCCTCCTGCTCCTCCTCCTCCTCCTCCTCCTCCTCCTCCTCCTCCTCCTCTGTCTCTTCCTCCTCCTCTTCCTCCTCCTCTTCTTCCTCCTCCTCCTCCTCCTCCTCCTCCTTTTTCCATCTTCCTCCTCTCTTTGCCCCCCCCCCCTGCAGGAGGCGGTCGGGTGGCTCCTGGAGGCCGTGTTCCAGGCCGCGGGGCGCATGCCCGTGCGCCTGTCTTGGAGGAGCGGTCGCGAGGAGCGGCGCTCCAGGCACTGGCAGGATCGGAGGGCGCCAGCTGTACTGCCCACACCGAGCCTGGCCAAGGATCTGTGTGTATGTCAGAGGAGCAGGAGGTCATGATAACGATACGTTCCGGGATGACCAGGACCGGGACTTCCAACATGTACCGCATGCGCCTCGCGGGCTGCAGAAACGAGGGCCGCTAGGTGCGCCGGAATTCCTGGAACGCGTCCCGAGCCGGTCGTATCATGCCATTCTTCTCGTCCCAGCATGCGGCGTTTCAGACAGGGCCTCGCCCTCGAGGGATCCGAGGGAGTTGGCACCTCTTCCCTGCGGCAGGCGGCGGCAGGCCAGCGGAAGCCGGCGGAAGTAAATCGGGGTAGGCCCCGCTGGCGGGGGCCAGCGGCAGGCCGGCGGGCGCTGGCGGGAGCAAAACCCGCCCCCCCCGAAGAGATGGCACTTTTGGGGGGGTGCAGGGCTTCCAGGATCCGCCGTCTGGCCTCCTGGCCAAGGCAGGGCGGCGTACACGCCCATCCTGAGCCCAGGAGGGGCATATCCAGGATCGGTGCAAAGAGTGCAGTTGGCTGCCTCCTGAGGAGGCCCAGTCGCAGCCAGTGCTCGAGCTGGCCTACGCGCCGCGGTTCCGCCACTTCGAGTTCGTCCGCAGGGGTCCGGACACCGACTTCCTCCTGAACCCCGACGCCAGCCCGACAGAGGCCAGCGGCGGCCACCCCTTCCACGTGGTGTGCATGGTCTCGTACTCCGTGTCGTCCGACCTCTCGCACTCCCAGTCGCCGAAGGCAAAAACCATCCAGGAACAGATCATGGACGGCGGTGCGGACCCCAGCATGCTGTCTTGGGAGGAGAGGCAGAAAAAGCTGGTGCGGCAGCTCAAGATGTACAATGCCGATGTCATCTGCCTCCAGGGCGTCCAGTCCGTTGGCTTTAAAGAGCGCAACAGCGAAGCGGATCCGGAGTGGTTCACTTGCGACGACGAGCCGGCAAACAACCATTTGGTGCACCTTTACCGGGACATGAGCAAGGCGAACTATGGTCTCGTCTTCGCTCCAGTCCTGCAGATGCCGTCGAGTTCCGCCCTCTGCCTCGGCAACGCGATCCTGTGGAAGCGCAACCGGTGGCACATGGACGCCTTCTCGAGCATTTTCCGGACCGCCGTGGTCGCGGTGCTGAAATCGAAGGTTGGCGGCCCGCCGTTGGCCGCTTGCAGTTACAAGCCGCCAGACGTGTGGGCGCAGGACTTCCGCGGATGGCACCTGTGCACCACCTCCGTGCCCAGCTGGAGACATCCTGGACTCCCACGACGGTGTACAGGTTACCCTGGCCTCGGCCGGGAGGCCGTACACATCGTGCCAGGGCCCAGGAGAGCTCGGCCAGGCGTGGTGGCTCGGGCGTGACTCGGGCTGGGGCGAATCGCTCCAGAGCGTCCCGGAACGCTCTCAGAAGCTCCAGGGCGCTCTGGAACGGCCGCGGCGTTCGCTGCACATCATCCAGGACCAACGCATCGCGGAGGTCTCCGATTCGTCCCGGTCCGATTTTTGGTCCCGGCCCAGGCCTCGTCTGAGTGGTCCTGGTGGCTGCAGGGGCGCCTTCTGCGCAGGATTGGGGCGAGCGCATCCCGGCCTCCGAGCTGCTCCTGCCCGCGGCGCGCGCGCAGGACGCCCTGGCCGCGGCGGCGGCCGAGCACGGCGCCAGGGCGCTGTGGTGCGGGGACTTCGCCCTGGAGCCCCGCGAGCTTGTGCCGCAGCTCTCGGCGGCCGCGGCGTCCGCCGGCGGCGGGGCGCCCGCCTGGCGCAGCGCGTGCCAGTCGGTGATCCCCAGACCCCCTCGAGGCATGAAGTAATCATCACCACCTACCAAACCACCCCGACCCAACCCGAAGGCATCAATTTGCCCTCCATTTCCAGTGGGGGGGGTCGGGGAACGTTGAAAAAACACATGGGGCCCGTACCCCCCCCAAACGCGAAATTCGGGTCAAATTCGGGTCTTCGGGTTGGGTTGGGGTGGTCTGGTAGGCAGTCAAATCACGGCGGGAGCTTTCTCGCTAGTTTCGGCCCCCGGGGTCCCTCGCCGGGCCCCAGGACCGTCAAAGAACGACTCGGGATGAGAAACCGACCCCAGGGGATGGGTCCAGACCTCGGGGGGGGGTGACTTTTTGAAGAAACCATGACGTCGGGGGTCTGGGTCAGGGGCGACGTTCCCAGAGATCCGATGTCTTGACTTTTTCCAAGGCGGGGTCCCCAGAAGTCTCGACACACTCCTGGGGACCTGCTTTTCCTCCTGAGCCGTTTCTTGACGGCCCCGGGGCCTGGGGCGAGGGCCTGTGGAGAAGCCGGAAACGGCGAAAACTGCTGTCCTGCTTTTCTCAATGCGTTGGATCTCTGGGTCAGGAGAGGAGTCGGGCTCAGGGGGGGGCTGCATCGGCACCCAGTCGCCCATGCACTGCCGACACGAGCCTGATAGCGCCCCAACCGGCCCAGAGACGTGCGGCTTTGCCTTCGGGCGCCCGTCTCCGATCTGCCGGCGATGCATCGCCGATTCCGGGTCGACGCCCCTCCGCCCGAGCCAGCCCCCTCCTAACACGGCGGCGAGCAAGGGGGGAAGTGGAAGGAGAAGGCCCTCTCAGAGGCGGCGGGAGTTCTCAGAAACCCTGGCGCCTTTGAGGAGAAGTTTTCAGTGTCTTCGAGGAAGGCTCAGAAAACTTCTCAGAAGGCTCGGGGACTTCCGAGCCTTCTGAGAAGGCCTACTCCTTCTCACTTCCCCCTGGGCTCGCCGCCGACTGGCGTTATCCCTCCCAGACATCCCGTGGATGGTTTTCTTCAATCATCGGTCCTCAGAGTTCTCGGCCACTTCCCCAAAGGTAGCTCTTCGTTCGTCCCAGCTCTGTCTCTGGTGGTCCTGCGGCCCGACAGTGGCCCTCGAGGGCCGACAGCACGGAAGAGCGCCAGGATTGAACAGAGCAGTCCGCCCGAAGTCCGGGTCAGGTGATGGGCTCGAGCCCCTGGACCTCGACCGTGAAGCACTCCGAGGCCGGAGGGATGCCAGCCGTGTCGGCGTCACCCCAGCATACCGATACTCTAGGCGTGCGTCGCCCCCCAAGCGGCGACGCGGGTACTGAGAATTCTTAGAGCATACCCGTCGTGACGGGCGCTCTCTGGACAAACCGCTCGGGAAACGATGTACTGCCATGTAGATCTACTTTAGCGACGCTGCGTCTTCGCCCCCAGAACATCCTGTTTATCTTGCTTGGGAGGTCGCCGGACACGCGGTCGGCAAACTAACACGTGGAAGCGGAATGTATTTGCCATGGCGTGCCAAGCAGCCGGCGACAAGGATATTGCTTCAATTATGGCAAGGGGGCGCTCAGACGTGGCGACATGCAGTGGGTAATTTCTGCGCGCAGATTTCAGTGGAAGTCTTTACTTTCCTCCAGTCTGTATACTGCCGACGCACCTCTGACGTGCATGGCGCACTCTTTCTCTCTCTCTCTCTCGTGTTGGACGCGCGCCGTCCTCGCCCCGCTCTTGCACGCTGGCCAATTCGCTTCTCTTTGCCCCCGTTTCGCTCTAGCGCTGGTGCAGCCCACTCTGCCTCGCCGCAGACGGAAAAATGTGTCGGACGCGCGCCTCCAAGGAGGACGTACAGCACCAGGGTGTGCCTTTGTGCGTCCCAGCGGTGCACCCTCGCCGGGGCCCCTCCTCTCCGGCCCCAGGGGCGGCCTGGCCAGGGCCATTGGGCGGGCGTGCAGCCTCGGGAGTCTCGAGACGGGGGCCAGTGCAAACAGGCGGTGTCCAGCTCGGGCCGGACGAGAGGCGGGGATATAGAGAAAGGGAGGGTGGGGGTACGAATTCTGCTGCGCCCCCGAGATCCGGGCGTTACAATTTTCCCCGGTAAGGGCTGCAGCCCAGGGTTCCCTTGTGGCTGCTTGCCCCCGGTATCGACTTGCGTAGGGCCAGGTGAAGTCTGATTTCTGTGAAGGAATGAGTTTCGCGCGTGCCCGTTCAAAGAAAATGTGTCTCTTATTTCGGATCTTCGATAAATAACAGGGGTCCGCAGACACCCGTTTTCCTTTAAAAAATTGGGTGCGGAGCGTTTCGCGCAGAATCCACGATCAAACACAAGGTATGGAGACCCATATATATATATTTATATATATATATATATGCCCTTTAGCTCTCAGCAGACGGAGTAGACCAGCAGGGGAAGGGGGGTGGCCTCAAGCGCTGCTGTGGCTCGAGCAGCAGCGCAGGTGCAGGTGGTATGTCCTGGGCGCCCGGGGATCGCGCGTTCGCCAGGCGGGGCGACGCCAGGCCGTGAACGTCGGATGCTTCGTGGCCGATGTCCACGAGCAGCAGCAGAGAGTCTCTCTGGCTGTGCCCGCGCTTGCTGCTTGAGCAGTCGGTGGCGCAGACTACGAGGTGAGCGTCGCCGACGCCGACGGCGAGAGCTCGCAGGTCGGCTTCGTGGTCGTGGCGACGAGGCGCCTGCGGGAAGAAGCGCCGGAGGCATTTGACGACGACTACATGCACTTCGGGGAGCGGCGCTTCGAGGCCGAGACCCTGCAGGCGGCGCTGGGCGCAGCGGGAGGCGGCCTCCACACCTCGACCGAGGACGTGGAGGCGGGGCTCGGGCGGCCGGCGCCGAGGGCACCGGCCGCGGGGGCTGCCGCCGGAGGCGCCAGTGCGCAGTCGGGTGGCGGCCTGCCTGCCGCGGGCAGCTCTGGCTTGCCGGGGCTGGATCGTCTGATCGCGAGGGCTTCGCGACGGCTCCAGCAGGCCGAGCCCGACGGCGAAGGCAGCGGCTCCTCGGACTCAGGCGGAGAGCCGCTCCAGGCGCGCGCAGCGCCCCAGCGGGCGCAGGCGCCGCGGCGCTCGGCTGCGCGCGCCGACAGGCGGCGGCAGCTCTCCAGCAGCGACGAGGAGGACTTCAGGTCAGTGGCGGGCAGTCGAGCTGGACAGGCCCAGGAGCCGTCCGGCGCGGCGGCCGCGGCCAGCAACATGGACGCGCACGGCCTCCAGAGCTTGCTGCAGTTGAGGATGCTCGAGGTCCTAGAGAGGCTCGAGTCGGGCAAGAAGGGCACCTCCTCGGGCGAGGAGGACGGCATCGGCGTGGGCAGCGTCGGGAAGGCCGGCAAGGCGGTGCGTGGCATGCGCCGCCTGAGGAGGAGAGTGCAGCAGCACCCGCTGCGCGTGGTGAAGGCCTACAGGAGCGAGGTCAAGCGAGCGCTGGGCGTGCAGCATGGCATGGCTTGGACCTACCTCGACTACGGGAAGCGCCACATCCCGTGGGGAAAGCTGTACGACCTCAAGAAGACGTTCGCCATGCTGGTGGCGGTTCTCGAGTACATGGACAACGACAAGTTCGACGAGGCTCACGGCCAGCTGGTGCAGATCATGAATGCTCTGGAGCAGGTGGCGATCAACCAGGGCTCGTGGAAGGCGGCGTGGCCGCTGTCGGGCCTGGTCGATCCCTACAGCAGGCGCGGGTTCGCGGGCGACGAGTTCGAGACGGAGGCCGTGGCGGCCTACATCACGGAGCTCGAGGCGCTCGAGACGAAGATCAGGCAGAAGGGCGCACTCGTGGCCAGCCCCGATGACTCCGACCACGGCCAGGCGGCGGACCAGGCGGCAGGCGCCAGCGAGAAGCCCGACAAGACCAAGCGCAAGAAGAAGCCAAAGGGGGAGAAGGCGTGAAAGCGTCCTCGGCTCCGACGGCGGCCTCTTGCCTGGGAAGGTGGGGTTTCTGGCGGAGCAGCCGGCTTCTCGTGGGGGCGCCTCTGGGGCGTTTCATGCATTGGCACCGCAATGCATCAGTTTCGTGCGAATCTATCGCGGGCGAAGGGTCGCCTGCCTCGACAGATCCTGAACGTCTTTTTCCCGTGCCATTGCCTTTCGTGGACGTCGCGAGCCGGGCGGCTCGAGAAGGTGCAGATCCCAAAGGTCGGAAGCAGCAGCGGCTGGCCGAGCGGGCGATGCACCTGACGAACGTGCTGGTTTCCCTGTTATCTTTTTGGGAGTGCGGGCCCCCGAAGGCGAAGGCGAGCTACCCCGACCTCCAGTGGTCTCCTGCACGGAGGGTGGCGGTGGAGAATCTCTATCAGGACCTGTTCGAGTTCTGCCGCGCGGCTGGGCGCGATGCTCAGCCGACGCGAGGGCTTGCGAGGCTGCAGAAGTTAGCCTCTGAATTGATTGCCCTTCCTGGGAGTTCTTACGACAGGCGTCTTCGCCCTGAAGGAGACCCTGGGTGGGGCATGCACGTGGGGCAGCTGTCGGCGGACACGCTGGCGCGGGCGTTGGAGGTGAAGCCCGAGCGCGTGAAGTTGAAGACGCCTGGTCCGGGCTGCGATCCTGCCGACCACCTCGCGGGCCGGCAGCTCGAGGAGTTCGTCGGGCACCTGGGCCGCTGCTTGGCTCCGGGCGATTGGCCTGCCAGCCCCCCGAGGAGATGCCGCCGCATCTCGAAGGACAACGAGCTGATCTTGGCCCAGGACTTGCTGGACCGCGGGATGGCGGTCCTGGTCCCAGCCTCGGAGGTGCCCCGCGACAAGAACGGATGCGTGCTAGCGTCCGGCTGGTTCGCGGTGGAGCACAGCGAGCAGTGGGGCCGTCTGATCCAAGACAGGCGCCCTCAGAACGCGACCGAGGAGCGGTTGGCCTGGCTGCAGTTGCCGTCGGGCGAGCAGCTCAAGTTGCTGAGGCTGAAGGGGCCGACCGAGCACGTGAGGGGCGCCGTCTACGACTTCAAGACCTACTTCTACCAGGTGAAGAGGCCGACAGGAACGGAACCCGGGAATGCGGTTGGTCGGCCGTGGCAGGGCCGCTTGCTGGGCTCGTATGCGACGGAGCCGAACACCTACTACTACCTGGCGTTGACTGCGTGGGGCATGGGCGACGCCAACTCGTGTGACGTCTGCCAAGAGACGAACGTGAGCATTCTGAAGAAGCAGGGCTGTATGACTCCAGCCGAGTCGTTGAACGCTCAGCTGACCGTGCCGATCGGGGAGACCTGGGAGGGGAACTACCTCGACGATCACTTGACGGTGCAGGTGTTCTCGGAGGGTGATGACAAGAGCAGGCTGCGAGACGTGGAGATCAACGAGCGGGCGAAGCAGGCGTGGGGGTCTGCAGGGTTGCCGCGCTCGGTGGAGAAGGACGTAGTCGAGCAGTCTACCTTCACCGCCTGGGGCACGGAGGTGCGCGACGACCCAGGCGAGGTCGGCAGCCCGCTGTTCAAGAGGCGGATCCTCGCATCGTTGACGCTAGACGTGCTAGAGAGCAAAAAAGTGTCGAAAGAGATGTTTCGGATGATTCTTGCAAATTTTGTTCATCCCTTCAGTCATCGCCGAGAGTTGTTTGGATGCTTCCATTTCTCTTTCAACTGGCTTGAGAGCCTGCGTCACGAGCACGAGGTTGTTACCATTCCCGCTGACATACGTGACGAGCTGTTCGCAGCCGCCGCCCTCCTCTCGATGGCAGTGGCCCATATTCGATGGCCTGTGGACTCGATTGTCTCGGCGAGCGACGCGACCGAGGACTCCTACGTGTCTTGCTCTGCAAAGGTCCCCGAGAAGGTCTCCAGGGCTCTGTATCGTATTGGGGCTCATCGTGGGGAACCTGTGAGGCTCGACTGGAACGAGATAGACCAGGTCCTCATGCCGACTAGGATGTGCAGGCCTGTCAACGATTTGAATGAGGCTTTCGCGAGCTTCGATTGGAAGGTCCAGCGGGGTGGTAGGTTCAGCAAGCACAGCCACATCAACCTACAGGAGATGAGGGCCCTAAAGGGGGAGATCAGGCGCAGGGGCTTCGACAACATCCAGAGGGCCCTGCGCGGGGACGTCTTGGGCAGCTTTGGGGTGACCGCGGCGTCTAGGGCTAGAGACCTCGAGGCCAAGTTCAGTCATGTGGCCGAGGGGCGCTCTGGGTCAGCTCATGTGTCTAGAGAAGGTGGAGGGCTAGGATCTTCGGAGAGGCGAACCTCGCCTTTGACTTCGTGTGCTTGCGCGAGTGCAGGAACGACCTTTGTGTGC